CGTCGGGCAGCTCCGCAAGGCCAAGACCTCCCGGAGGAACGCCTGGGGCAACCTCTCCTACGCCGACCTCATCACCAAAGCCATCGAGAGCTCGCCCGAGAAGCGCCTCACCCTCTCCCAGATCTACGACTGGATGGTGCGATACGTCCCCTACTTTAAGGATAAAGGAGACAGCAACAGCTCCGCCGGCTGGAAGGTACCTGACCCCCCTGACCCCAACCCCTGTGCAACTTTCCCCCCTGCTCCCAGAGGTGCGCGGGACTCTGGATGCCTCCCCTGAGGCAGCTGGAGCTCACCCCCAGCTGTGGGGGATCCGCGTTTTCCTCGTGGTTGGGAGGGATAAAGGCTTGGTCAAGTTTTGGGGAGAGCGGGTGCCTCGCAGCGTTGCGTGTCGGAGCTGGGGTGAGCTTGTCCCCAGTTCACCCATTGGCCTCAGGCTGGGTTGCACAGCAGAACCAGAGCTCTGTGGCCGTCCTCCCTCCGGAGGCTGGGGAGAAGGGGATGGAGGTGGGGAGGGTGGTCACGGCCAGCTCTCCTGCTGGCCTGCGAGCACCGGGCTACGGTGAATGACAGTCCCACCACCACGACTCTGCCTGTCCCTGCCTGCGGGCACCCCAGCCGTGCCTGGTCCCTAAGTGCCAGCAGCATGCCCGGGAGGACAGCCGGATGGAGGGCTGTCCCCAAACAGGTGTCTCTGGGCTGGCTTTCACCCAGTTCTGGGTGAAAAGATGCACTTTTACCCAGTGCTTCTCCCTGCGTCTCAGCCCCCACCTTCCCCAGGGCTGTGTCCCCCTCCCAGGGGGCCATGCAGGCAGCGCACAGCCCCTATGGCTCCACGCTGGCTTTCCCCTGCTCTGCTCCCCGCTGGCACCGTGGGCTTGTTAGAAATCCCTGGCATGGGCAAGCAATCGCCCTCTTGCTTGGTGCCAGCTGGGGCTGCATCACACCAACCGTGACGGCACTGGGCGAGGGCACGGAGGGTGCTGGGTCCTGGGGGGGGCACACCGGCCCCTGCCCCTCCGGCTGGCGCTTGCCCAGCTCCACGCTGGGAAGGGGGAAGAGATCGCCTGCGTCCAGATGGTGTCAGTAAAAAGGAGACGGTTTCTCTTAAGCCCTCCCCTAAGCCCTGTCACCTCCAGTGTGATTAGTGTGTAACGAGGCTTCGGGGGCTCTGACACCAGCCTGCGGTCTTGGCACAGTGTGTCCTGGCTCTGTCGGAGACCGCCGGACCTGGTCCGCCCTGGGGGGGGGTTTCTTGGTTGCAAACAGGGCTCTTTTGGGGCAGGGAGGCTGGGCTCCGTCTGTGTGTGGCACCTGCGGCTGGGCGGTGGGAGCTGGTGGTGCGTGGAGGCTGGGCACCCTCTCTGCCTTGCCCCGCTCCTGGTGGGGGGGCAGGGGGGAGGCGGGGGCCCCC